CCGGGGCGGAGTCGAGGCGCGGCCACGCCCCCCGGAGTGGCCGGGCGCGCCCACAGGGCACAGTCTTAAAGGGCTCGTTCCTACCGAAAGAAACTTCGGACGAGCTTGCGAGTCATCGCTCTTCTGAAAGGCGGGGCGACTCTATAGGAAACTCCGGACCCCGCTTTGTCACCTACCACAAGATACTGCCGCCCGGTGCTCAGGCGTCTCCTCCCCGGGCAGAATGCGGGTCCCCGAGGGGCGTGGGAGTAGCTGGGAACACCGCCGCCTGAGGCTTTGAACGCGAGCTTCCCAGGGCTTGGCGCCAGCTGCTCGGGGCTGTGCTGGGACCGCAGGGCGCTCAGCAAAGTTAGGACACCCCAGAGCTGGCGGCCCCACCCTCGTCCCTGTGCCAATGTGGGGCCCGCTTCCACCGCAGGAACCCTCGCGCACACCGCTCCGGGTTGATGGGGCGCCTGCAGCCTGTGGAACTCCCACCTCTCACATCCGTGCCCCCGCCCCAGCCATGTGGCAGCTCCGAGGCGCGAACCGCAGAGGACAGGAGGAAGGGCCCCCGCCATCCACGTGATCCTCCAGCCCCCTCCCGCAACTTGCCCCACACCCCGCGGCGGGGACTCGGGGCTTTGGGGAGCCACGTGGCCCACAGGACCCTGACGCCACGATTCAGTCTGGAAGTTGCATCCAGATTCTTCTGGCTGGGGCGCGAGCGGCGTCCCCGATCTACTCCGCACCCGGGGAGGCGCCCACGCGATCTCCAGGACACGATTGGCCAGGGCGCAACCGCTGAGTCTACACAAGAAACGGGTGGTGGGGACCCCCGTGCAGTAAACCACGGCCCTTTCCTCACGCTGCCCCCACCTCTGCGGTGACAGGGTTCTTGGGCGCTTCTCCAGCGCAGGGCCCTGAGGGACCCTTGGCAGCGGCGCACAGCCGGGCCGGAAGACGGCCGCCCCTCCGGGTCCAGGCCGGGCCTCGTTGGCTGTGGATCAAAGAGCCAGGGCCTCGCTTCCCTGTGCACAGATCCTATCTTTGCCCTCCCAGCGGGGCGTCCTGCTCCCCACCTGTAGCCAGGGTGCCCACTCCTCCTCCCTCCCCAGGACTCGGGGCTTGGGCAGTTGTGCTCAGCTTGGCCCTGGAGATCCTCCGAAGACCCTGCCCAGCGACTCCAGCCTTTTCCCCTAGTGTGAACTTGCTGCTCGCACTAGACTCCTAGATTAGAGGGTGGGGTGACTCTGGCCAAGTGTGACCTTGCCAGGAGGGGGCAGAGCAGGGGCCAGGCCCAGCACCTCCCTGGCGCCAGACCCCTGAGGCTGTATGTCTTTTTGGCGGAGGAGCATCCTCTGTGGGAGGTGACTAGAAGTCCTCCTAACCCGGAGCTGTTTGTGGGTGCCTTCAGCTGGGACAGAGCCTCTTCCCGAATAGTTCACGAAATTCGTGGGGACCCGGAGGACCTGAACCACCACCAGCACCCCGAGGGGACTGGCATCCTCCCCCATCCCTGGAGAAAGGGGAGAAGTTAGGGCAAGTGTGTTTATGATTTGGTTTTCTCAGGGTAATTTTTTTCAGCGTGGTATTATTAGCCTTTAATCAAAGATTATGGTCTTTCTGCTTTATTGGTGTGAAGCCTTTCTTTTTCTAACAGGATGATGAGAGCAGAGTTTTCTAAATGCCTTTATTTGGCAAAAGCAAATAAGGACACTATTCTGACCCGTTCCCTCCCCCATTCTTGCATTTCTCTGGATATTTTATAGGGCTGTGGGATCCTCAAGTCTGAAAGCCACGCCCTATGGGATCAGGCTCCAGCTCCTCACCCTGCTGACGGAACCAAGAAAGCAGAGAGAATAGGGGCCGAGGAGGAGTGGGGCCGGCAGGGAAGGGGGGCCTCCGATGTCCAAGGCTACACTGAAATTGTCCTAAGGCTTGCTGAAAGATCGGTCACTCCGTAGCTCTGGGCTCGGTGGGGAGGGGTGGAGGGGTCCCGTCCTCTAGGAGCCACTGGCTGCTTTGAGAAGTTGAATTATTAGAGCTGAGTTAGGTACTGGGTTGGTCTGTACAGACAGGGGCAGGAACCCCTTGCCGTAGCGCTGTTGTCTTTATTATCGCTGTAGTGTGATGCTTTTCATTTGGGAAGATGCCCAGGAGTGCACTGGCTGGGTGATCCCTCTATTACCACCTGCGCGAAGGCTTTATCTGCTGAGTGATTGCCGTGTGTCAGGCGTGCTGTCCAGACTGGCACACACATCTCGTCTCACCATCACACCAACCCTGTGACCTAGGGACTGTTATCCCCATTTTATAACAGGAAATTGGAGCTCAGAGAGCCTAAGTAAGTCCCCTACCCAGGAACTCACCGCTTAAAAATGAGGGTGTTGTATTCCAAACCCAGGCAGTCCGGCTCCTGCGCCCACGCCCTAACTACCATGCACACATAGTTAAGGTCCCATCATGACCCCGCAAGTCCCAGAGGGAGTCCTTACCTGCAGTAAGGACTGAAGGCAAATACTCATACGAGAGTTGTCACTGTATAGGATCCTGACTTTCTGGATAGCTCTTGCTGTGCGGGAAGGCCACCAAGAAGTCTGAGGGAGTCACCTGGATGGTCCGTAGGGGGTGGTCCTTTGTGAGGGGGCCCCCACGCACCTCATCCTTGGCCTGTGCACCTCTCTCCCCAGCCTGCTTTAATGAGGCTTCCTTTTCATGCAGATGAACCAGGCAAACCTGACTGCCCTTTGGAGGATGCTGGGCAGGACCCTCGAGGCTGCAGGTCTGAGTGAGGAGGCTCTGACTTTCCATCTGGGCAGACCCGAGGCTCCATCCCTGCCTTGCCCTTTACCAGCTGTGGGGTCCCGGGCACCTCACCGAGTGCCCCTGAGCCCCTGAGCCCCCTCCTGGGAGAAATGGGTGTCGTACCGGGTGCCTTGCACTAGGGCGTGAGGCTGAGATGAATCACTGTATCCTAGTAAAGGAGCTTAACAATGCCGGGCGCATTCCAAACGCTCTAATAAATGGGTGCTCTTGAGCTAGATATTTTTCGGAAGTTGTTAGGCTAATTGGCTTTCATGTAATGTCATGTAAATCATCTGCGTGTCCTCTTGGCCTGAGCCCACTTAATCATAGCTAAAGCTGAAAATATACATTTCCTTTCCTTTCAAGTTCCTTTAACATGAAAGGCCCGCATGAACTCTCTGACCTTTTCGAACAGGGAGACCCTTGAAATGTGGCATTTCCAGAAAACGGCTCAAAGGAGCCCCAGATGGATTGAGTAAATTACAGCAGGGAGAGGTCCCGAGCAGAGCGAGGCAGCGTCTCTTCCTGCCTGGCATCCTGTCGGGACTCGCCGAGAGCCGCCTGGAGGCCGCTGCAGGCTCCGGGCAGGAGGCTTCCATGGAACGCACATTCTCTCTCAGGGCACGGCCCGGTCACCAGCCCTAGAGAAACAGCCTGTGGCTCGCAGCTCTCTGGAGGCCATAGTTTCAGTGTGTCTGAGCGGGTGTGTGTTCGTGGGTGGTTGTGACAATGGTCGTGTGCCTGAAAATGGGACCAGAAGGGTGTGGAGTCATCCCTTCCTTCACAGAGACGGGAGGAGCTGGGCAGGTGGCGCATGCTTCTAATCTCAGCTACTGCAGCGGCTGAGGCAGAAGAATCACACATTTGATCCCAGCTTGGCCAACTCAGTGAGACCCGGAACTCATCTTTCCCTAGAGCACTGGAGAGGTGGGGGCAGAAAGAAGGGAGGAGTCTTCTATGGATTCTCCTCTCCCCGCCCCTTAGAGTTTATGCAATACCAAGAGTTGCTATATCAAAATAAAAACAGAAAAAATAAATA